AACATCTGCTTAATGCATCTCTAGGTTCTGATCCATCATCTGGACTGGAAGTAGTGAATTTGTAAAAAATTCACCTGCGTTCACTTAACTGGGATATTGTGAAAACAGATCACTGACTAACACATCTGTCTTTAAACATAATGATTTCTATATTTTATCCAGAATATTCAGATGGGAACATACAAAGGTGCTGCATTGAACCAGTAGTTTATTTTGTAAGCTTGCTTCCACCACTGAATAAAAAAAAATAAAAATAAATAAATTGTGACTTTTTATCTCACAATTCTGACTTTTTTTCTCGCAATTGCCGAGTTTACATCTCGTAATTCTGAATTGTATTTCTCAGAATTGCGAGACATAAACTCACAATTGTTATATAGTCATATTTTCATGATATTAAGTCTCTGCCAGTAGTCAATATCCGATAGCTTATGACAACATGATTGATGACTTTGACCTTTTGACCCATAATTATATCCATATGCGACCTTTGACATCATAATAATTTCCATATGCGAAAACCGGCGTGCGTGAAATCCGGCCGTCAACCTTTGAGCTCTGGGGATGACAAATTATGTTTTTGTAAGCAACCGAGGATGACAGGTGATAAATTAAGGAATGTTTTGAAGATATTATGGAGCGTTCCCATATCCGGACTCGTGTGCGGACTCATCTGTGTCTTACGTGCCCCCGTGGTATCAGGTTGCTGTGTGTCATGCTCACGCTCTCTCTCACTCGCTCCCTCTCTCTCTCTCTCTCTCTCTTTCTCTCTCTATGGGGGGAAAACAAGCATAGGTGAACAATAAATAAACAATTTTAACAGATTGCGAGATCGTATCATAATATGTGTGTGTGTGTGTACTGGTGTATATAATCTGACGGCAGTATTAAAAGTTTCTCAGCATATGAATGAAATTTGGGATAAATCAATAAAAATATAAATTGTCTTACATTTTTCAGGGAGAGAACGTCTTCCTCGTGCAAGCATCGCGATTCTTCAAATGAAATGTTTCCCAAAATTGTGCTTGGTTTAAATTGAAAGAAGAAATCTTTCTTTGAGATTGTCTCTCTCTCCCCCTCACCATCTCACTCCCCCTCTGCCTGTATGCTCATGGAGTCATGGCTGTGTGTGTTGAGCCCCCACCGCTTCTGTCATTGCAGTCCGCTGCGAGAGAGAAAGTGGATACGTTTGGCAAAAGTTTTAAATGCACTACATCTATCTCAAAGCGCAATATTACTTTAATGTTGAAATAAACAGATTCCCTATTCATCTGATGTCCGGCGGTTCTTGTTTATATTTTAACTAAGTTTCTTATTTTAAGCATGGTATGCTTACATGGTCTACAATGGCTTAGTGGTCTACACAGTATCTAATTTCCGTCTCAAACGGGTTTTAAAATCCGTTTAGCTAATATCACATCTATTTTAAATATGAATTAACCTTTATTCATCAATTTTTTACATTTGGTTATGTTTTATTTCACAATGTCGATCTGTTTAAACAGATGTTCTCACGGAGTTCGAACCAAGGACGTGTCTACAGAGGTGGCCAGGGATGGCACCGCGGCTCCCTGAAATTTGGCTGGCCACCCCAGGTGCCCCCTCTCCCCCTACCAGATGTCTTGCGATAGGCTTGTCTTTAGTAAATTTCTAACTGCATCTGGCAGTGGCGGATCCTGGCATGTGTAGGCAGCTGCCTAGGGCCGCTTTCTTCTCTTCTTTATGCTTAATTTTAGGCGGTTTCTATAGTGTGATCTTAATAACACATAATGTTACGCGATCCATGTGCGCGAGGACGAATCTCTCCACTCCCAAGCGGATTTCCTTCACTCACACAAAACTGGACGTGTGCTTTTAAATATTGTTCTTTTATGTAAATAAGTAAAATATTTTTAAACTTTTAAGATTTCGTCTAAACAATCTGTTATTTTTTAAGATCTTATTTAAGCTTTTGCAATCATGGTTTAATAATCAATTTCATATTATCAAGACGTTCCCTGTGAGAGAGAGAGAAAAAAAAGGGTTAGCAGATAGAAACCTGACACATGTACTGTTACTCCACCCAACTCTGAATCTGAAACATTCAATTCACTTCACAATGGTGTGTAACCCTAGGAGGATCTGTGAGTTTTGTTTAGGGTAAACCTATTAAGCTCACCATAATCTACATTGAGACATTTTTAGTGCTCAGGTTACAAAAACCTGTGCTATTTTTTGTGCTATTGGTTTCAGTACAAAAAGTTATATTAAAATAAAATATTAATCTCTCACATAAAATGTTTTAATTTCATTTTAAATGACAAAAGCATTTCAGTTAAGATATAAATCATTAAATGCAAAAAGTCTGGCTGTGCTTAATGGGTACATGTTTGTACCCTTTAAGCACACCCCTGTGCCCATTAAGCTCACATCATGTTTTATTAAAAATGCTTGTTTATTGTAAACAACCTTTTTAAAGAACAATTGAAAAATATATTTTTGAAGGTACATAGTCAGTCACAAAAAATAACAAAAAAAAACAGAACACTAAAATCAAGCAACAAGGCATTCAATTTGATCAGTTATATATTGATAGCTAAGTAACACATATTCAAAAATCAAATAACAAAACAAACCAATAAATAATTTCATTCACGGGGATGAACACAGAACCTAGCCTCATTATGAAGCCTCTTATTAAATAAAGATCAACTTATCTATAGTCTCTTAAGGCTGGAATACACTACAAAATATATATATTTTTTATCTGATTTTGAACTGATTTACAGTCTGGAGAAGTTGATGCTAGTTGCTAAAGGTCAGAGCCAGTCTGCAGATTTGAGTTGACAGAATCTATAGAAAATTGATTAGCTTAACTTAAAGTGACAACCATCGCTTAATATTTAAAGTATGTTTATGAAGTATTTACATAGACGTTAATTGTAATATATATATTTTTGATCTGATTTTCCACTGATTTACAGTCTGGAGAAGTTGATGCTAGTTGCTAAAGGTCAGAGCCAGTCTGCAGATTTGAGTTGACAGAATCTATAGAAAATTGATTAGCTTAACTTAAAGTGACAACCATCGCTTAATATTTAAAGTATGTTTATGAAGTATTTACATAGACGTTAATTGTGGAAGAAGTGTGTTAAAGAGACCACACTGAGCTTAATTGGAGCAGCCAGAATTGTTAATACATTTCATGTAATATTTATTAACAATTACAAAAATTTGCAAAATAAATAATCTAGGTCATGTATTAAATTCATACATATTTTATTATGAACAACTATTATTAACAATATCTATGAAATTATTGATGTCGCGCTCAAGCTGTGTGATTTTAATAGTAGTGCACCCTATAAGCTCACCTTAAAATAATATGAAATCTTTAAAAATTACAGCAGTATAAAACCACAGACCAGCATTAAACTGTCAATTTATAATATCATGGATGTAAAAGTACAAGCCAGTAATGCCGGTGAAGTTATATATTAGCGTGGCACACAAACTTATACAGCTAGTCAGCTAACTGTGTTCTGTAGCATCTGCGCTGTGCTGCTAACACTTTTGGATCTAGCTGTAATTATTTCCCACATCCAAGTTCCAGGTTATAATATGCAAAAGTCTAAACATTAATCTCTTAATTTTACAATAAGTAGTGAAATTTACCCAAAATAAAGGCTTAAATATCTAAAAAATGCACACTTAAGGGGCCCTCTTTTGGTGAAAGTTTTCAGACAGCTTTCAAAATGAATACTCATATCTCAGTGTGCAATGATCTGATTGATTTGAAATTACAGGAGGTGTATAGACACTGGATCTCTCACGTGTCTTCTCAAATGTTTAGAAGAGATTTCAACAACATCACACACTGTGCTCAGATTTTTCTCCTACACTAAAGACTCGAGAGCTTTCATATTTGTCTCCTCTAAATTTCAGAAGTGATCTCAATAACTTTACAAAGTGTGCACCAAGTCAAATGCCTCAATATGAGCTCAAACATGTCTACCATATAATATGTATTAATAATCAAATTAGTCAATTCATAATCAAGTCATAAGCCATTTATGTCCCTTTCAGCAAAGAAAGCTCCAGGGTTACATTTCTGTAAATCAGTTTTGATTAAGGCATTCGGTACATTACTATTTCCAACAACACATTTTGTGCCTAAGTACATAAACATTGTGTTATAAAAAGTAATATTATCCTTATTTCTGCATAATTTCTCTCTCAATATAGCCTTTAACTCTGAATTTATGGTTTTCCCTTTATTTTATGCCTTTCCAAGTACTTGACTTGATGCACACTTTGTAAAGTTGTTGAGATCTCTTCTAAAGCTTTACAGGAGACAAATATGAGTTCCCCAAACTATTAGAGAAAAATTTAAGCACGGTGTGTGACACTGTTGAGATCTCTTCTAAAGCTTTAAAGGAGACCATTGTGAGAATGTTAGAGTTTTTGTCTCAAGAGACAAGTTTGAGAAGCAGGAGACTCAAGGACAAATCTCAATTCGATCTTAAAATAACCTCTTTTCTGTCTAGGAGAAGTATTTGTTAGATGTTAAAGAGATCTCACTTCTGATTTATCTTTCCTATGGGTCCCCAAAAACGTTTATTCGTGTATAATTTTGCTTTGTGATATAAATTATCTTTTTTTTTTTTTTTTTAGATTCACATAATGTTCATACAATGTTCAGTACTGATATTCAAATAGTAAAGAAAAACAAAACCACTCTCTGCTCTT